TCAATGGAGGCATGTGGAGGGTCCCACAGGGACAGTCATGCTGAGCAGCTTTCCAGCAGGCTCAGGTGCCATCTGAGCTTCATGAGGGACCAAAGGGGAGCTGTGGTGCTGAGCGCCATCCCGCACACAGCTGGGCCATGAGGTCTGCCTGGGAAGGCAGGGAGGGCAGCTCAGGGGTGCTAATAAAAGGTGAATAAAAGGGCTGGAAGCAGTGCTGAAGCTGTGCGGCTTGTGAGCTGCTGGGTACCAGACTTCTGGGGCAAACCAAGGGGTCTGGCCACTGCTGGGCTAGCAGAGATGGAGGGGAGAGGAAATGCTTGTTCTGAAACACAAAAGCTCTTGTGGCATAGGGGCATGTGATTTGTTGGTCAGTGAGGCTCAGCAGGGCTCAGCTGGTTCTGAACGAAGCTTTTCCCTTGGCCAGTGCTGTTGACTATGGCATTTCAGCTTCCCATAGGGGGATGCTGGACAGGGTAGACACATGCTGAACTAGTTGAGCTACAGTAGCAAAGCCTAGCTGGAGAAAGTTTGAGGTACCTTTGGAAAGCTTGCTTTTCCCGAGAGTGGAAAACAGGGGACCAAGTGGAGGCACATAACTTCTGATCATGTCCACCCATCAGAAGCTCCCTTTCCCTCATCTCAGCCTTTGTTTTTTTAAAAAAACTGAATTCCAAGTTTATTCTGAACAATTTTCGAAGGTCTTTGCAGATCAACCTGTACAGAATTTCTGATAAGGAGTGGTATCTCCTTTTTTTTGCCTCTCTTTCCCCAGTAGCCTCCCAGGTGCAGCAAGAGGTTGCACACGGTGGCCTGGCCTGATGGCTTCCACCCATCAGAAGCTCCCTTTCCCTCATCTCAGCCTTTGTTTTTTTAAAAAAACTGAATTCCAAGTTTATTCTGAACAATTTTCGAAGGTCTTTGCAGATCAACCTGTACAGAATTTCTGATAAGGAGTGGTATCTCCTTTTTTTTGCCTCTCTTTCCCCAGTAGCCTCCCAGGTGCAGCAAGAGGTTGCACACGGTGGCCTGGCACACACATGCTCCCTCCAGCATGGGTCCTGTCTCTTCTCCCAGTGCAGCAGGTGTACCTGAAAGGATGAACTGGATGCTCCCTAAAAAGCTGTTCCATCCTTGCCCCAGCAGTGACTGGCCTTGGCCAGAATCTGGCCCTGCCTGAGCACTTTATGGTCCTCCAGAAAGACCCAGTGGGATCCATAACAGGACATTTGGAAGTGTTTTTGTTGCTACTGCGGCTGCGCTGGTGTAGTGTGGAGGGGCAAGTGGAAAGTCATATTTGCTTGCACCTCTCATTTGCTCCTCCAGGAGCACCAGTGGAGAATTCTGCTTATTGGGTATGTGTGCACAGAGAAAGCCCTCTTACATATCCCTCACAGAGGCAGCAAGAAAATCATAGAATCATTGACTGGTTTGGGTTGGAAGGGGCCTTAAAGTTCATCTAATTCCACCCCCCTGCCCTGGGCAGGGACACCTTTCACTAGACTAGGATTCTAAGATCTCCATCCAGCCTGGTCTTGAATGCATCCACAACTTCTTTTGGCAACCTATTCTACTGCCTCACCACCCTCACAGTGAAGAATTTCCTTCTAATATCTAAATCCAGCTGTGTTGTCCCACTAAAGTGCTCCAGTGGTGAGCTGGAAGGAAGAGCTGGAGGAGTGCATGAGCTCCAAGTGTGTTTGAATTTGAAGTTCTTCACTGAATATGGTAAATGGACCAACTTTCTATCTGCTGGTGATGCTGGGAAACCCAGCTTGTATTATATCTCTGGCATCAGCAAGCTTGTGAGTGTCACAGGTTACCGGGAGGTTTGGGAAAGCCTCATATTAGCCCAATGACAAATAAAACCCTACAACAAAGGGACTGTCATCCAAGACTTGGAGGAAAATCAGGCTCATCACTTCTGATTCCTGAACTTATGAACCACTGCATGTATTGGCTCCATCTGGCCATTCTGCTTCTGCAGAACAATGTCACCCTTGGTCATTATTTTATATGCCTTTGAAAGGAAGGCTATGATTAAGATCTTGCAGGCTCTGGAGTCTGGCCAGGTGGTGATGCTGTGGTGTCACGTGGGTACTTCATAATTGTCTGACCAAGCTATGGGGTATAAAGGGGAAGGCAAGCTCACTGCTTTCTCTCCCGGCTACTGGTTCCTCTCACTTGCTGTAATGGGCAGTATCAGTGCTTCCTCCAGCCCCCTGCTCTATCTCAGGGCCCTGGAGGCAGAGCATCCCTCTTCCCCATAGCTTGGTACTGTGCCTGTCACATGTCAGTGTCATTTGTCATCCCAGGGACAACTGACCTCCGTGGGGTAGAAACTTGCCCTGCTCTTTTCCTTTTGCAGAGAAATCCTGCCTATGGTCCAACAGTGTGATGGGGAAAGGGGAGCAGGAGAACAAGAAGTGGAGCACAGGAGTCAGGAGAGAGAGAGTCTGAGGGAAATGTCAGGCACTAGATGAACTACGATTATCAAGTGCTTCAGACTTCCATGACACTGCCTAAAGAAATCTATTGTACCAAGAAATGCAGGAAGATTAGAAAACAAAGCTCAGCTCTGGCCTGGGTTGGCTTTTCTTCCCCAGAAAGGTCTCTGCACCTGAAGGACATCATCATCCTGATGGCTAGGGTGTAGGCTTTTATTTCTGCACCCCTCTGAGTTTGTTCCCATCAATCCTGGGAATACAGAAGATGTGTTTAGAAGGTATATTGTTCATTTTGGAAGCAGCCTGCCCTTTTTGTTTTCTGGAGATCAATGACACCTCTTGTCTGCTGCTGCTTGAAGGCTGGCAGGAGCCTGCAATGGCAGCAGGGTGGCCTGGTTAGGGGTGAGGTGTTGCAGGGCTCTGTCAAGGATTAGGGAAATGCAGGTCAGTGAAGCAGCTTGCCAAGATGTGCGGGTGGAGTTCTCAAAGAGTGAGAGTGGAAATGATGCCTCTGGAGCCAAGTTCCCCACAGGCAGGGATGAGTCTGTTACCAAGGAGGATAAGAGGTTCCAGGACCTCGGGTGCTCTGCTCCTCTGTGCTCTCACTGCAGTGCAGGTCCTGGGAGAGGTGCTGGGGAGAACATTTTGCTTTGCAAGGTCTTGACCAAAACGAAAATGTTTGTGCCTCTGAGAGATGGACTGTGAGGATTCTGAGGCAGGAGTTTACAGTCCTTTAAAAAGCAAAGCAAAAACAGTTCCTTGGCCAGAAAGCTGTCACTGTGTTTTTGTTCTCTTCAGGATAACACAGAAAGTGACAGATATAGCTTCTGTATCTAGTGTACACCCCAGATTTACTCTGTGACCTTTCAGATATGCATGTGGGTCTGGATTTCTGAATCATAGTTATTTGAGCTTGTTTTCAGAGGTGTTAATCAAACCTGGCTTTGAGTGAAGTCAGTGGGAGAAGACAGGCATGCAGGATACCTCAATGCTCAGCCCAGATGTTAGAGCATGAGCAAGATCCTCACCAGCCTCTTGCACAGAGCTGGAATTTGCAGAGCAGAAACACTCATCATGCAAATCCATGTGGTCATGGAGATTCCTGTGGCACTGTAGGTATCTGCTTGAGAAGGGACAATGTGTCTCTGATCTCACCTGTTCCAGATCATTTGCATACATTTGCAAAAATACTTTTTATTTAAGGACTTGGGAAAAATCTCTGACTTCTGTAAGGTGACTGCCAACAAGCCTTCTGCCCACTTCCTAACCAACATCCTGTTATTTTAATGCTTCTGGTTTACCCCAAAACTCTTGGCTCCTAGCCTATTTAAGAACTGTTGTGAGAATGTTTCCTGTCATTGATGTGTACAGCACTCCTTCCTGTACTACTAGTTTACCTGAGAAGAAGTAATTGTTCTTCTAGGTATGTGGCACCATACTGTGCCTCTGAACAAGCTGATCCAAGGCCTCTGGATCTCCCCTGGACGTGCTGTTACTGTACAGCTACAAGTATGGTTTCTGCAGAGCTACAGCTGTGAGCCAGCAAACAGCTCTCCCTGCCCTCTCTAAAGTTATTGTCTTAGCAACAGTTTAAAGTGTCAACTTTTTACTGTTGAATAGGAGAAGAGCAGGAGATATGTATGGCATAGTGCTAGCTGGGGATGGTTCAGGAATCACAGAGTCATCTAGGTTGGAAAAGACCTACAAGTTCACCACATTGTAAACTAGACCTTGGTGCTAAGTGCCATGTCCAGGCATTTCTTGAACACTTCCAGGGATGGTGACTCCACCACCTCCCTGGGCAGCCCAATCCACTGTTTAACAACTTTTTCCATGAAGAAATTCCATCTGATGTTCAAATTTATGGGAAATTTTTCAGGGAACTGCCCCTTTACCAGTGGATCATGCTCCACTGACAACAGATTTCCTTCACATATGTCCCTTCTTGAGAATCACAATGAACTCCCAGCTTAGCTCACATAACAAGGCAAATGCTAACATCTTGTCACGGCTGGCCTGGGTTGACTTTGAAACCTTGGCCTCGAGGTGACATTCTTCATGTGCCCTTTGGACTCTCATGAATTTCTGCTGAAAACAAAATTGGCTTTTATCAACTATGTAGTACTGAACAGTGGCTGAGCATGACTGCATGGTGGCCAGACACCCTTGTGTAACTTAACTGGGAGATCAGTCATTGAAGTCTTTGGTGCCCATTGTTGATTCACATCTTTTAGTGCTAGTGTAGTCTGAACTACTACTATTTGTGCAGCCAAACTCTAAGCAGGATGGGACAACATGAGAGGGAAGCAGTTTTGCTTGATTGGAGTCATAGAACATCATTTTTTCCCCTGCAAAGCTCAGGCTTGCTCCCATTTTCCAAGAACAAATCGTAGCACACGCACCCCACCCCTGCCAAAAAAAACCCCTAAACAACTGGTGGAGATGCAGACACAAACATTTGGGTGTCAAGGAATTTTGAGAAGTCTTGACAGTGTCAGCAAAGAAGGGATGGAGTTAGAGTGGCGCCAGGCTGACATTCCCATGTTTCTCTCCCAGGACTACACCATCACCATGTACTTCCAGCAGAGCTGGCGGGACAAACGCCTGGCCTATAACGACCTTCCTCTCAACCTGACCTTGGACAACAGGGTGGCTGACCAGCTGTGGCTGCCTGACACCTATTTCCTGAATGACAAGAAGTCCTTTCTGCATGGGGTGACAGTGAAGAACCGCATGATTCGGCTCCATCCTGACGGGACTGTCCTGTATGGCCTGAGGTAAGTCCAAGGGGAATCTTCATTGGTTGTGGCTGAGAACAACACCTCATCTAAACTTCCCTCTTTTCCAAAAAAGCCTGAAAGATACTCAGGTATTGAAGAGGTTTGTGTATCTGTTCTTTTTCCAACCTGGAAATAGTTGTTTCCTTCAGGCCTCCAACATTTCCTGTGCTGCTATAGATGAATGTTGAAGATGGGAATAGTCTGCTCTGGCCATTTCAGGTCACTGTCATTTATGTTGCATAACACTTCCATTTGAAACACTCATTTTCAGTTGCTTATAATTTTCTGCAAGTTTGGCCTATGGAGATGAGCCTTTGTTACTTTTGTATCTAAGTCTGAATTTCTGTAGCATTTGAGTCAAATCACTTTAGTCATTTTTGAGTATGAAATAGAAGACAGGTTTTTGTACAGTTAAAAAATGTCTCTTTACTAGGGCAATTCTGAAGACTGAGGCTTGAAAATTGATATCTAGTAGGGGAATGATCCTCAGTGAGGAAATTTTTTGTGGTCTCTGGAATAAATTGACATAGGCAAGTCCAAAGCCTTTGAAATTGCTGTGCTTGTGTGCGGTGGAGGGAGCAAAGTTTGGCTTTACTGTGCTGTCTGGGTATGTGAAGGGGCCAGGGTAGGTAAGAAAGTTAAATGAAGAGGGCAGAGGGCTAAAAGTGGAGTTTCAACTGTAGGGTGCTGTAGCTGAAGTCCAGGCAATGATTTTTCCACCCCTGTGCTTATCTGCTTTTCTCCTAGGTTTCTTTTGGGGTTTTGTTGTTTGTTTTTTGTTGTTGTCGTTGTGGGAGTTTTTTTGTTTGTTTGGTTTGGTTTGTGGGTTATGGTTTAGGGTGTTTTTGGGTTTTTTAGTTTTGGGGTTTTTTTTTTGGAGGGTGGGGGTGGGAGGTGTTTGGGGTTTTTTTTCCCTTTTCAATTCCCAGCATTCACAGCTGGCTTTTTTGACCTGCCTCCACATTCACAAGTATTTGCAATAGCAGCTCTGGGCTTACATCCCAGTGCAGTGAAGGGGGAGGAAAGACCTTTCTCCTTCAAAAAGGGTCCACCCACCCTTCCCATTTACACCTTTCTCCTTCAGCAAGGGTACACCCACCTTTCCCATTTACAGTATCAGCTCCTCTGCTACTTTATGCTTTTGTGACAAAGTCTGACTTGCGTGATTTTATTCCTCCTCTCTAAGTAGCTGAGCTGTTTTGGGGAGGGTACGGCTGGGTGTAGGCATAGCAAAGCAGGAGGCTGCCCAGGACATCATCCTGCCAGGGCAGCAAGGTGACTGTGCCCTGTGCCCTCCTTATAGAAGAGCCTTGGGAAGTCAAAAGAGCAGCAGTCACTGCTGGTCCTGAGGGACAGACTGTGGTATGTGGGATCATGTATATACTGTTTTTTCCTTTCAATTAATGGATACTTTTTACTCCAGGCCCAGATACAGCAAAAAGTGCAACAAGCCCAGCTTTGCGAGTCTGTCCCTGTTGTGCCTCTCCCTTCCCAGGACAGGTGCACCCATCCCTCTGCCTTGGGCCAGTGATGTTGTTTGGCTGATACTGTCAGAGAGCCCTGAGCCAGCTTTACTGACCCACCAGAAAGCCTTCCCATAGCTGACTACACTGAATTTCCACATTTTATTAAAACAAGGATGAAGGCTAGGTGAGAAGATGTTTTGACTTGGGGCAGGTGGGAGCATAAATTCAGCCTTGGTGGGAAGGAGGGAGCAGAGAGTGCTGCTGAGCTCGGGCTGCTCTGTGCTGCTAAGACAGCCCACCTGAGTGTAGAGCTGCCTCCCCCAGCCTGGTGGGAAATCTTCACACACACCTGCATGGCAAAAGCAGAAGAACTGCAAGTATATTTTTATCAGCTGCCATTTAGTCAGCTCAAATAATGAGCAGTGTGAATCCAACAGCACAGGTGACAGGCTGTGGAAGTCCTTGAAGGGTATGCACTTGACCTGGCTGGGGCTGGAACACTGAGCAAGCACCTCCTGCACTGTCCCTTCCCCTTCCCTCCTCAGCTCCCCTCACATGACCTGTGTGAATGGGTGAGATAAGGAAAGTTGCATCCAGGCCAAAAGAAAGCAAATGGCAGCTGTTTGCCCTTTATTTCCAGGGCCATAGTAAGAGACGCCTGTGTTGGTTTAACTTTTGGCTGGTTTTCCTGGAAGCTGCTCTCTTGCCCCTGGAGAAAATGGTAATTGTGAAAATGAAGCACTGAGCAACTGCAGCTCCTGTTCCCAAACTGTACCTCAGGTCGGGGTGGCTGGCTGAAAGCACTGGGGGACAAGCCAGGTGCCCTGAATGCTTGAAGTCCCTCTTGCTTTGTTCCTAGTGGTCTGGGCAATGATTTCTTTAGGGCTGCTTTCTGTACTGACTCCTGCACCTGCAATTTTGCTGAAAACAATATTAGGTCCAAGTTTGCAGGTGCAAATAGCTGTGATCCTATTCAAAAATACACAACCACATACACAGCAGGTGTAAGCAAGCAAGGGAAATCATTGAATATTCACCTGTGTTCTCTTTATCTTTGTAAATAGGCACGCAGGCTTGTCCTGCAAACAGGAAGGGAAATGCATGTCCACCCTGTGTTTTAGATCCTGTTCTTGCCTTTTTTTGCATTTTGTGGAAAAATTTATAAAATGGAGTTGCCTTGGTGGAAGAAGGCCAAAGGAGGCAATCCCTACTTCTTTTCCTTTGTTTGCCTGTTTGTTTTTCCCCAGGAAAGGTTCCACATCTCCACTCCTTTTCCTGCTACCTTCTCGCCAGTCTCTCCCCCCTCCTTTGAGCTGATCCTGTAGCAAAGTGACTCAATCATGCTATTTGTGGCACAACATTCATTATTCTTTCCAGCAGTCTCTGATGTCAGAGACCAGGGACGATGACACCCTGGCAGGTCCCTGCCTTCAGCGGTGTTTCAGCAACTGGCAGGATCGGGCTCAAGCCCTGGATCAGACCTCAAAGTCCAAGTTAGCTCCCACCCAAGTCAATGGGTGTTTTGTTTCTGAGAACAAGATCAGGCTTCAGATGACTTGTTTGCACGAGGAAATGAAGCTCTTTATTCCATTGTGAAAGTTGGGTGTCAGAAAAGCATATTCTTGGTTTTGGCAGAATTAGCAAATTAATGGATGAAGGGAGTGCAGCAGATGTAATATAGCTACATCTCAGGAAAGCGTTCAATACAAAAGCTTACTCCAAAATTAATTCCCACTGGGCTCAGATTAAAAGCTTGTTGCCAGGTCTCCAACAAAAGGAATGCATAAACAGCAGTGGTGATGCCGGGATGCCGCAGGGCTGGAGACAGGACTGGTGTTCCCTACGCCCTTCCCCAACCAGTTAGCAGATGGCATAAATCCCAGAAGACCAAATAGGGGCCTGGAGCCCAGACTGAGCCCAGAGGGCACTCCTATCCCTGCAAACACCAAGTGGGATGAGAGGATGAAAATGGAGCTGGTGGGTTTTTAGGAGGTGTAACCTGGCACCAAGGTGCCTGAACTCACCTGGCCCCCAAACACATTATAGGAATGAAAAGTGTCTGTGAAGCACAGGAGAGCTGTTTCACCCCTGGTATACAACAGGGAAGTGCTGAAATGATGTGAAAATTCTGCAGTATAAAGGGAGGCTTAAAGGAGCTACCTGCAAAGACAAAGTAATCAGCTACTAAGCAGTGGAGGGATGTGGATAAAATAGTGAGGAAAAGCTGGATAACACTGGCTGAATTTAATATATTTTCCTCCTAATGGATTTTTTTTTTTGGTCCGAAACTGCATTGGTTTCATCAAATTTTAAACAAAAAAAAACAGGGAGAATTTTTTCATATAAGAAAAAGCATTTCAGAGAATGTTGATGCTTCACTCCTAATTTTATGTAGAGAATTTTTCACTTATGCCAATATTTCCCTCACTGTTCAAACTGGTTTACTACTACGACTGACCTCTGAGGAACAGAAAATTACCAAGGCTTTCTCTGGACCTCCAGACACTGTCTAGCCCACTCCTGCCACCACATTCAATAAACTTTACGCCGTCACACATCCAAGCTATACATTACAGTCTGAGATTTTTAATTCCTTTTCTAGAGCCTGTAGCATCCATTTGGTAGTGAAACAAGTTGACACTTGTCAAATGCTGATGTCATCAGTATTTTGCTGTCTGTTTTCAGAGTCCTAAAAATAGAAACAACTCTAACAATGCTGAAATTCTAATATGGTAATTGGAAATCGTATTTGAAACCAGCTAGAAAACATCCTTCAGGGAAATCTTGAAGCTATTTGATTTCATCCTAATTAGGGACAAAACTGGATTTCAGCAAAACAGGTGATTTGAGGAGCCCAGACTGCATCCCTGAGCTCATGGGGGAGTTGGGATGCGGGGAAGCAGGAACGAAGTCGGGTGGACAGCGAGATGCTGGCAAGGAGCCCAGACAGTGTAAACTGAGCAACTGGAAAACTGCAGCAGAATTTGATGATGGAGACTAAATCCTGTGCAGAGAGAATGAGGGATCTCCTCCTGCGAAGGTGGGAGTGGTGGTGAGGAGTGTGTGCATGTGTGTTGGTTTTTTATTCCTGTCCATGATGATGTCATGAGGTGTGTTTTAGAGATGAGTCAGTTTGGAAGCACGCAGAGGTGCCAAGGCATGGTGTGGCTCCGAGTCCAGGGAGTGACCTCCTGGGCAAAGAGAGCACTCCCTACTATCCTCATCAGTGTAAATACCTGATCAGTGTGTAAAGCAAGGGGGAGAGAATTGTCATACTTCAAACAACTCAACGTTTGCAGTATTAAACTGAGAAAGGCTGGACCTATCTGCTTTGACAGCACTTCATTTCTGCTTTTCCTGGGGTACATTCCCATCAGTCAGTTGCCCCTGGGGGACATTAAGCCCTCTCATTGCAGCAAGATACTGCTGATCTGCTTGTGGACCCTTGCTCCTGAGCAAGGAGGCAGCTAGAACACCACTTCTGGCTCACTTTACATAGGTCTGTCAACCTGCACTGTTTCCCTATGTCAAGCAT